TTTGATGTGGTGGGCGACGGGGGTGGCATCATTGGAAGTCGGAAAGGACGATTGGGAGCATCAGGTGAACTGGGGGGGTGCTACGGGTTCTACGGGCTGGGGCAGGAAGGGAGGGGGGGGGAGGTGGGGGTGGAGAAGGATGAGGCGGCGGAGGTGGAGGAGGAGGAGGAGGCTCAGGCAGAGGCCGAGGCTCAGGCAGAGGCTCAGGCAGAGGCCGAGGAGGGGGAGGAGGAGGAGGAGGAGGAGGAGGAGGAGGAGGAGGAGGAGGAGGAGGAGGAAGCAGCAGATGAGGAGTATGAAGGGACGGAGGGAGGACCAGGCGCACAAAGAGGAGGGCAGTGTCAGTTATCATGAGGATCGGGAGGAAGTCGACGATGAGAGAGGCCCGGGTAACGAGGAGGACGTTGACGAGAATAACCATGACAGCGACAGAAAACAAGGAAGGGCAGGACAAGTGTGACGAGAAGGAGGAGTACGATATCGATAACGGGGGGTGCCAAGGGGCCTAGAGGAGGCGCAGGCGGCACAGCGTGCATTCAAGGCGTTTTGCCGCATCCGCCCTCCCCCCCTCTTCCCCTGGTAAGCGCAATCGTGTCGCCCTCCTCCAGCCTGTTTTGTATTCTGCTCTTCCTCTGTGCTTGCGCTTGCTCAGCCTCCTCGTCCCTGTCCTCGTCGGCGGTCCGCTCCTTCCTAGCATGCCTCCTCCTCCTCCTCGTTTTCCTCTCCTCTTGCCTTCTGTCGCTCATGCCTCCTCATGACCCTCCCCTGTCTCATCTCGTCCTGCACCTCTTCCGCCTCTTCCTCGTCCTCTGCGCCCCCTGCCTTGCAGCGCAGCGGGCCTCTGAGCCCTTTGTCCTCCCTTCCTCTTCCACGCTCTCGCTGCTTCTTGTTCTTGGGCTGCTGGTGCGTCTCTGGCCCTTTCCGATGCTCTTTTTTCTTGTCACCACCCTTGTTTCCGCCTTCAGCTTCAAGTATGTATACATATATATATATATATATATATATATATATATGTATCTCTTCTTATATTTTTACAAGCCCTGGCGGGGGGAAAACCCGTCCCCCCCCCCCCCCCCCCAAAACCGGATTCCCGGGATCTGGGGCTTTGGGACCCTCCGGACGGGCCGCGAAGCGGCCCACGGGCTTTACAGGGCCTTTTACCAAGCCTTCCCAGCACACCTAGAGCGATCAGGGGGGTCATCGGAGACGTCCCAGAGACCCCCAAGACAGCACAAGAGCGCTCCAAGAGTGACCGACGTGACCTCAAGATGGCCCAAGAGGCCTCCAGGACGGCCCCAAAGAGGCCTCCAAGAGCACTCCCAAGAAGGCCCCCCGAGGCACAAATCATTGATTTTCCGTGGGTTTTTGGTGAATTTTAGGGTTCTCCTCTTTTCGGCTTCCCGACGCTCCAAGACGGCGGTCTTCTGGGCGTCCGAAGCCGCCTGGGAGGCTCCCAAATCGCCCCACAACCATCCGAAAAGGGCTTCCAGGCAGTCCAAGAGAGCCCCAAAACGGCACAACACGGGTCCAAGATGGCCCTCAGAGAGCCGCATGGCGGCCCAAGATGGCCCAAACACACCCTCCGAAGAATTCCAAATCGTGACCCGGTCGTTCAGGGAGACCGCGGTTGGAGGCAGGGTGGCCCGAGGAAGCCCTCGGAGGCCCCCAGAATACGCCCAGGAGGCTTCCAGAAGGCCTTAAGGAAGCCTGAAACAACTTTTGTGAGGCCCTCAGAGGCTTTCCAAGGAGGAGCCTCGAGGAGGAAGGGGAGAATGAGCAGGGTATGGCGAACATAAGGAAAAAGAAGCATGGAGGAAGGATCACGAATTACATTTTTATAGCGGCGAAGCCCGAAAGGCAACAAGGAGTTATCGCTAAATTGTCGGGTTGACCTTCCTGCTATTCTGCCTGCATGCCAAACTTCAAGGACCAAGGTACATGGCGCGAAGCGCCACTGCAGTCTTGTATACTCCTCTTCTTATATTTTTATAAGCCCGGGCGGGGGGATCCCCCCCAAAAAAACTGGACTCCCGGGACCTGGGGCTTTGGGGCCATCCAGACGGGCCTCGAAGCGGCCACCGGGCTTCGCAAGGCGTTTTGCCAAGCCTTCCCAGCACACTTGGGGCGATCAGGGGGTCATCGGAGACGTCCCAGAGACCCCCAAGACAGCACAAGAGCGCTCCAAGAGTGACCGACGTGACCTCAAGATGGCACAAGAGGTCTCCGGGACGGCCCCAAAGAGGCCTCCAAGAGCACTCCCAAGAAGGCCCCCCGAGGCACAAATCATTGATTTTCTGTGGGTGTTTGGTGAATTTTGGGGTTCTCCTCTTTTCGGCTTCCCGACGCTCCAAGACGGCGGTCTTCTGGGCGTCCGAAGCCGCCTGGGAGGCTCCAAAATCGCCCCACAACCATCCGAAAGGGCTTCCAGGAAGTCCAAGAGAGCCCCAAAACGGCACAACACGGGTCAAAGATGGCCCTCAGAGAGCCCCATGGTGGCCCAAGATGGCCCAAAGACACCCTCCGAAGAATTCCAAATCGTGATTCGGTCGTTCAGGGAGACGGCGGTTGGCGGCAGGGTGGCCCGAGGAAGTCCCCGGAGGCCCCCAGAATACACCCAGGAGGCCTCCAGAAGGCCTTGAGAAAGCCCGAAACAACTTTTGTGAGGCCCTCAGAGGCTTTCCAAGGAGGAGCCTCCGCAAAAAAGAGCTGAGGAGGATGGGGAGAATGCGCAGGGTATGGCGAAACTAAGGAACAATAAGCACGGAGGGAGGATAACGAATAACATTATTATAGCGGCGATGCCGGAAAAGGCAACCCGGAGTTGTCGCTAAATTTTCGGCTTGACTTTCCTGCCATTCCGCCTGCATACCAAACTTCAAGGTCCAAGGTGCATGCCGCGAAGCGCCAGTGCAGTCTTGTATATATATGTGTGTGTGTATATATATATATATATATATATATGTATACCCCCGTCCTCACCCGCCATCCGGCACGTCAGACTTTTACTCTCCCATCCTGCACCCCGTGCTGATCATCACCTTCCATGGTACCCTTTCCCTGTCCCCCTTGCCTCCCACAATCCTCTCTGCTCCTCCCCTCTTCCTTCTCTCCCTTTCCTCTCATCCTCCCCTCTCTTTCTCCTTCCTCCCTTCTTTAACGCCTCCTGCTTGCTCCAGCGACCTCAACCAGTGACTTGCACTTGGTCTTCTCGAGTCGAACTTGCTGAGCTTCCTGGCGAGGTTCCATCCCTGTTCCTGTCTCGTCGTGTTCGTCCTCATCTTCCCCCTCTTCGCGGTCCGCCTCCTCCTCCTTTTCCGCCCTTCTCCAGCCTGTTCCTCCCCTTTCTTCATTTTCCTCCTCCCATCCACCCTCCCCTTCCCCTCCCCTTCTCCTCCGTTCTCTCTTCTTCTCTCTTCTCCTCCCTTCTCATCCCTTCTCCTCCCTTCGCCTCCCCTCCTCCCTCGACCCCCCGCGCTGCCTCGCGCGCGACGCGCTCTAGAGCCGACCTCCCTCGACCTTCCAGCAAACCCCCAGCCACCACCGGCGCGATCGCGAGACCCCTCCTCCACAGGCCGCCCGACTCGCCGCCGCCGCCGCGGTCGCCGCCAGCGCCGCCGCCGTCGACGCGAAGCGCCGCCGCCGCCGCCGCCGCCGCCCCCGCCGCCGCCGCCGCCTCCCCTCCTCCTCCTCCTCATCTCCTCCTCCTCCTCCTCCTCCTCTTCGTTCTCCTCCTCCTCCTCCTCCAGCCCCCCCCAGACGCTCCAACCTCCTCCTCCAGCCCGAGGCGCCGTCGCGGCGCACCCCGCCGCCGCCCGCGGCGCCCGCGCCGCCGCCGCCGCCAGCGGCGGCTGGAAGGCGCCCGCCCCGCCAGCCGGCACGCGCGGGCCGCAGAGGGCTTGCGCGCGGAGCCCTGCGGCCCGGGGGGCCTCGGCGGAAGGCCGAGGCCTGGGAGCGGGCGCCGAGCGGCCGCCCAGGCTTGTTGGGGGTTCTTGGCCGCTGTGGGCGTCGCCCCAGACCCCTCGGGCAATGAAAAGATCATGACGTGAGTTTTTTTTTTTTTTTTTTTCCCCCCCCCCCCCCCCCTATTTTCGGCCTCTGGGGGCCCTTACCGGCCTTCGGGGCCGCCAAACAACGACTCAGGATGAAAAACTGGTCCAGGGGCATGGGTCGAGACCTCCAGGGGTCGACGTAATGAATAAATCATGGCGTCGGGGGTCTGGGTCCGTGCGTTCCCGAACGCTGCGGAGCTCTGCCTCCCGAGTGAGCCGGGAGGCTGGCAGGCAGGCCAGGGAGTCTGTCCAGCCTCGGGCTGCCTGGCAGCAGCTGCGCCTCGACGGGTGTTGTCTGGGGACCGGGGCCGCGAGCCCTCTCTGGTTTCAAAAGGGCTTCTGCTTCTGTCGGCACCGCCGCGGGCTTCCCTCGTCCGTGAACATGCCCGGGGCCATGAGTCGCTGGCCCCCTTCGTAGCACCAGAGAGGAGATACACGGTCAAGACGCTGAAAGAAGGACCAGTGCGGCTTTCGAAGGGGCTCGCCGTTCGTCAGATCCCTAGTGCAGTGCTCCTCCTGCCAAGGCATCGCCTCTGCTTCGTCTTCCGTAGCGCTCCTTGTGGTAGTAGCTTGACAGTGTGCGCTTGCCGAGTGTTCGGGTCGTACTCTCTTGTTCACGACGCTGCCGTTTCTCGCGGCGTCGGATCTTGTTGAAGGGGTGCCCCCACCAGGCAGCCCTCTGCAGTCAATGGCTGCCCACGGTGTGACTCAGGTCCGCGTTGTGGCGTCTTTCGGGGGGTCTTGGGGCTGTCAGGGGTATCGGGGGTCGGGGAGACGCGAGCTGTTCCCCTACACCGATCTTGCGCCAGTCGGGTCCGCCCTCCTGGCCCCGCCAGGATTTGCACTGATCCTGGGCCCCTGGGTGGGCCTGGCCAGCAGCGGTTCCACCAGCGTCATCGTCATCATCGTAGCGCTCCGTTGTCCTCATGTTGGCTCAATTCCAACTTGCCCAGACTTTGCTGCCAGGGCCGTCCGTAGCAATGCCGAAGGCGAGGCAGAAGCCAGCGGCCAAGCCAAAGCCGAAGGTTGAGCCAAGGAAGGACGCCGACCTGGAACAAGCGCCTGCCCAGTCTCGAGAGTCAACTTGCAGGCATGAGCAGGTGAAGGGACAGCGCGCCGAAGAGCCAAGGGCAGAGTCTCGGACCGACGCCGACGAGGCGCAGGCGCACCAGCCTCCAGGCGACGCCTCTCACAGAGGAGTGCCGCCTCGGCTTCCAGATCTGGCAGGTACTCGGGAGCAGGCGGAGCAGCAAGGCGCTGAGGCGCCGGCGGAGGAGTGCCAAGGTCGGCCGCGACCGCGAGCTGCAGGAGCCGACGACTCGGTCAGCAAGCGTCTGGCGGCAGCCCTGGCCTCCATGGACGCGCTCGCCGGGCAGATGCGTGCGCTCAGTGACGGCCGCAGGCGAGAGCACGAGCAGTTGGCTGCGAGGCGCGCGGCGGAGGAGGACCACCTGGAGGCGGCTTCCGAGCGCCTGCGCCGCCGCCGCTGCGCCCTGCAGGGCCTGCGCGCCGAGTGCGAGCGGCTGCAGGGCGAGTTGGCCGCCAGAGGGCCCCCCCTGGAGCCCGAGGGCAGCCAGCAGGCTCCGAGCACCAGCGCGAGGGCACCGCACATGGAGGCACCCCGCGCTAGCCCAGAGAGGCTTGGGCCTGCCGCGGAGGAGGCCCCCGGGCTCCCAGGGGCCGCGCCGCCGCCAGACTTGGCGGCGGCGGCCTGGCCGGAGGCGGCGTTGGAACCGCAGCGCGCGGGAGGCAGGGAGGGCGGAGGCGGCGCAGTGAGGGGGGCGGGGGCGGAGGCGGAGGCGGGGGCGGAGGAGAGGGCGAGTGGCAAAGCCAAGAGGGAGCCCAAGGAGAAGGAGGCGAGGGGCAGGCCGAAGAAGGGGCCGCAGCGGGCGGCGGCAGAGCCGCAGGAGGCGCGCGAGCCGCAGGGCCTTCTCAGCTCCGCGGCGGGAGCCCCTCCGCCAGCGCAGGGGCCCGCGGCGCTGGTCGCAGCCCAGCAGGAGGAGGAGGAGGAGGAGGAGGAGGAGGGGGGGCTCGGCGGCGGCGGAGCGAGCCCGTCGGCCAGCGCTGCGGCGCAGGACCCTACACTGGGCGCGGACGGCATGGCTGGCGGCGGCTGCGCGATAGGCTCAGCGGCCCAGGACGGCACGCGGGCTGCTGCCGACGTAGCTGGGATCGACATCACCTTCTCTGTCGCCGCGGACGTCGAGCCCGGCGTTTCGGTCCCTGCCTCCTTCCTGCTCCTCGTCGTCGTCGTCGTCGTCGTTGTCCTCCTCTTCCCCCTCCTCCTCCTCCTCCTCCTCCTCCTCCTTCTTCTCTTCCTCCTCCTCCTCCTCCTCCTCCTCCTCCTCCTCTTCCTCCTCCTCCAAGGTCCGTGTGGTAGGTTCCGCTGACGCCTTGGGGCGTTGGGAGCCAGAGCAGGGAGTGCGCATGCACGCGGTTCGGAGCACCTCTGGCACCTTTTGGTCCGCCACGGCGAGGTTACCTGGGGGAAGCGAGTCCCTGGGCAGCGTGGAGTACAAGTTTGTGAAGGTGCTCCACAACGGCGACGTCACGTGGGAGGGCTGCGGTAACAGGAAGGTGTCTGTCACCGACCTTTGTGCGGCCAGGGCGGCAGCGCCAATGTTCGGCGAGGACCCTGGCCACACTGGCGGCGCGCGTCGAGCGAGCATGGGGCATTCGGAGGCGGTCGCTGGAGACGCAGAGGAGTTCCACGAGGCAGTGGAGGATACCGCCGGCAACGACAGCGACGAGGCCCCAGATGAATGGGCCGGGCCAGAGGAGGAGGGCGCCCAGGTGGACGAGGAGGGTCGAAGGGTGGCGCAGGCGCCGCCAGGCACGGAAAAGCAACCCGAAGGAAAAAAGGGCTGGTTTGGCTGGTGGAAGTAATTGTCAGTTGGGGTGTTGCTGTGGATCGCATCGGCCCATGCAGCGGTACATGGTAGCACGCTGGATGGCCATGGGGTGATGGCGCGTAGACAAGACGATGTTGTAAAGAACTCGCGGAGCGATGTACGCCAGCAAGCACAGCTTTGACAGGTTGCAGGTGTAAGCAACACAATCGTCGTCATCATGATCACATACTGCTGACAGACGACTGTGCCATTCCTTGTGCCCGCTCATGTTTCTTTGTGGCAATTCGGCTCCACCTCCTCCCCATGCTCTTCCCCTCTCTCCTCCTCTCTCTTTTCTCCTCCCGCATCCCCCTCTCCTCTCTGTTTTTCCCTCTCCGCCTCGTCTTTGTTCCTTATCCTTCCCTCCTCTCCACGGCCCCCTCTTCTTCTCAAATGCAGCTGCTTATTGGAGAGGCCTGACGGCCGGTGCCGCCGACCCTGATCGAAATGGCTAGGAGTGGGGGGAGGAAGCGGAGGATGAGGAGGAGGAGGAAGAGGAGGAGGAGGAGAAGGAGGAGGAGCAGGAGGAGGAGGAGGAGGAGGAGAAGGAGGAGGAGGAGGAGGAGGACGAGGAGGAAGAGGAGGAGAGGAGAGGAAGAGGATGAGGAGGAGGGAGGAGGAATGAGGAGGAGGAGGGAGAGGGAGGAGGAGGAGGGAGGAGGAAGTGCATCCTTTTGTGTGCTCCCGCTCGAAGAAAAGTGCGCCACCCGGGAAGTGTGATTCTGACTTGGGACGGCTCCCGGAAGAAGTAAGAAAGTGGCTCGTCGGCGTGCCCCGCTACGAGGAATGCGCCCTAGGGGGGTGGTAATTTGGGCTTCGGGCTGCGGACTCGGGGTCTCTCCTCGGGCCGCCACGCTCCGCCCGCTCCTCCCGGGACGCCTCTGTGGGAGGAGAAGAGGGAGGAGGAGGAGGAGGAGGAGGAGGAGGAGGAGGAGGAGGAGAAGGAGGAGGAGGAGGAGGAGGAGGAAAAGGAGGAGGAGGAGGACCAGGAGGAGGAGGAGGAAGTGCATCCCGTTCGTGCCGGCTCGAGGAAAGTGCGCCCCGGCGGGCGTCGTATCTGCCCCGGACCCCCCCCCCTCCTGTGAATCTCAGATAGATTTCTAGGGTTCTGTGTGACCGGAGCTCCCGACCCCGTGTCCGTCCCGTTCGGGTCCTCGGAGCTCTCGAACCCATGTGCAACCACCCGCACGTGCTCTGTTTTCCTGTCCGTAGCCGTCCGGCTTATAGCCGGGCCAAGAGGCCCCTTTTGGCGATTTTGACTTATCGGTCCGAAGCTCAGGGGGACCACGCGAGATAGAAAACGAGTTTCTCTCATCGTCAACGTTGTGCTCTCACTTTGGACAGTATATCCAAGCTCTACGAGCCCACCGTTTCTGCTGTATTTCAAGCTCTGCGAGCTCAACATCTCCGCCTACCTACACAACCTTGAGGATCATATCCTAGAGCTTGTGAGGATTTCTCGAAGTGAAAGGCTGAAGATCCGTGGAAGACACGCTCCACTGACATTGGTAGCGAGACGAAGTGGCAGCCCACTTCGAGGTCGATCTCCAAATCAAGATGGCGAACGAGCAGCAGTCCGGAATCAAGATTCCTGTGTGGAATGGTGAGGCCTCCACTTTAGAGAGTTTCGAGGAAAAGGTGAAGTTGTGGGTCCTGGGCACAAAGAAGGATGACAGGATCTACCTCGGCCCGCGTTTGGTTCAGGCAACGGACGAGGATTCGCAGCAGTGGTTTGAGGCAAAGAAGGTTTCGCTCGACGACCTCGTCAAGGAGGACGGAGCGGAAAAGGTCGTGGAGGCGCTCAAAGGAGTTAGAGGCACGGTCACGATGCAGGAAGCTGTGTCAAAGTGGCGAGAGTTCATGCGTGGAGTGTATCGGCATCCGGGTGAAGGTCCAAAGAGATGGGTTTCTCGCTTTGACATCCACTTGAGCAAGATCGGTAAAGCCCTCCACGCAGTCTGTGACGAGATTCCGGCCCAAGGTTTCATGCACGAGTTCATCCTAGGGTTGATCCTGCTGGACGGGACGGGCTTGGACCCGTCAGAGCAGGCCGCGGTGCTGGCGACAAGCGGCCCCAAGGGCAACTCATACCTCTACCAGGACGTGAAGAAGGCGCTAGCTGAGCAGTGGTCGGAGGAGCAGCTGGCATCGCGGGACAAGCAGAAGGGATACAAGGCCAGGAAGGGCGCTCACGCGGTCTTCGACGACGCCGACGAGCTCGCCGCCTACGCCGAGGAGGTCTACGACGAGGCGTACATCGACGGGTTCGAGGAGGCGGCAGACATCGCGGAGTCAGCGATGACGGCAGCCGAAGACCTGATGACCGCCGCGCTCGGTGAAGAGCCTAGAGGAGACGAGGAGCAAGGAGAGGATGCGCTGGCAGCGGCGGCCTCGACTCACGAGACGGACGAGTGGACGGAGACGGCCTTCGCGGCTTCGAGGACGTTCGTGGAAGCGAGGAAGCTGATCAACGAGGTCAAGAACGCCAGAGGCTACTTTCCGGTGGTAGGTCTGGGCGCCTACGACGCGCTCCCGACTCAACCCGCCGCTGGAGCTGGACGCGGACGTGCAGTGAGTCGGGGCGGACCGCCTCGCAAGGGCAAGGGCAAGGATCGAGGCGGCGTGGCAGGCCGTGGCAAGGGTCGCGGTCAGAGTCAGAAGCGTCCAGCAGCACCTCCGAAGGACTCGAACTCAGGGACCAACGAGAAGTTCAAGGGGGCTTGCCTGCTCTGCGGCGAGCCAGGCCGCAAGGCAAGGGACTGCCCCAATCGGGGCAAAGGCGCCCAAGGGGAGAGGCGCCGGGCTTTCAACAGCTTCGTCGGCGCGGCCGACGGCTACAGCAAGAAGGTCGAGTTCGAGGACGTCCAGGACGTGTTCGTCGGCACGGTCAACGACGAGGGCGAGTCCAAGGACTGCGACGAGGAGGAGCTGGACGAGTTCGTGGCCTTCAGCATGGACGACTGCAAGGGCTACGCGCTCCTGGACGGTGGAGCGTCCAGATCAGTCGGAGGCGTGGAGCAGCTGGAGTACGTGAACGAGCGCCTGAGCGAGCCCATGGAGGTCAGCCCGGACAAGAGTCTGGGATTCTCATTTGCTGGAGGCGACCGGGCAGACGCACCCTCACGGGTGACCTTTAACGTGAAGGTCCTGAACGACGAGGCTGTGAGCATCTACGTGCTGGATCGTAAGTCTCCGGTGCTGCTTGGAATCGATATGCTGAAGAAGTACGGGCTCGTGATCGATTACTCCACAACACCGTGTACTCTCATCGGTTCAAGCGTGAGATCCCCACTAGAGTGCTCCCGTCAGGTCACTCGGCACTGAACCTTACTGCTCTGGGCAACGAGGCCTCGGGCGCAAGCAGCGAATAGGGACAGCACCCTGGTCGCGGCAAAGGGACTGTGGAAAAATCGTCGTCCAAGTCTGTCGCCACCAGGGGCCCCAAAGACGCCAATGAGCTCCCCCAGATGCTCCAGAAGTTGCTCGAGGTCAGTGTCTCCATCATGGGCCCCTACCCCGAGCTAAGCCAGTCTATGCTACAACCTATTCTTGGGTATCTCTGGGAACGGGCTGACTGGAAAGAAGGTGCGAGAGTTAGTCGGGATATATGGGTCGACTGCTCACACGCTCTAGTTCGGGTTCATCGTCGGGTTCGTTTTCAAAGATGTGATCTTCGAGATTTTGAAGCTCTTAGTTTAGCCAGCTTATCGGGGAAACGCCACACTCATATGATTCGAGAAGACGGGGAACACATGATGATCATCGAGAGACTATTGAATAAAACAGCTCGACAAGTCGAACATTCGAGATGGGTCGGTCTTACTATCTACCCACGATCCTTGTGTTCAAGAACCGTTTCGGCTCAAGCAGTTCAACGAAGCAGGTCTCAGTTCGAGAGCGCGTTCCAGGCTGATGTCGAAATGCGCCCATCGGGACCAGACACGTCAGGGGTCCAACCATGTCGTGGACCTGATCAAGTGCAGGAACTGCGGGGAGCTCCTGTTCAAGTACCACTTCGCGAAGACGAGCGACCAGATGCTCCTCCAGTGTGTTCGCTCCCGGCAGTATATCCACCGCCTGGAGACCACGGGTGCGGCCCAGCCCGCGGCGCCCATGATGAACCAGTCGAGCTCCTCGGACAGCGAGGCCACGGCGACGACAACGGCGCCGACGTCAATGCCTCCACCGAGCCCTCCAGGGGCCACCAAGAAGTTGCCGGAGCGCCTGTCGGCCGAGGTCATTCGGAAGCTCACGGACACGGAGGCGCAGCAGATCATCGAGAGCGAGAGGATCAAGATCCGCCAGGAGGAGCAGCAGCGCCTCGCGAAGGAGATCCTCCAGAAGGGCCTCATCGACACGCCGACGGACCCGACGGAGGTGGACGACAGGGCCAGGCCGAGCAAGAGGCTGGGCGTCAGCCAGATGCCCAAGGCCGAGTCGATTCCCGTGCCGGAGGATCTGCCGACGCCGTCGGGACTGCCGAGGCCAGCCGGAGACTTTCATCTCGTGTGAAGAGCTGTGTACTCGGAGCGCTGATCGCGGCGACGGCGGCTCTGGGAGAGATGCCGGGCACCGCCTGGGAGGCAGCCGAGACCTATGGCAAGCTGGACCTCGCAGAAGTGGCCTGTGTGTCCGACTCCAGGCTCACGCACGCGATGATCGAGCAAGGAGGCAAGGCCGAGAGATTCAGCAACTGGAACGGGTATGACTTCTCCACCAGGTCTGGTGCAGAGAAGCTCGTGAAGGCTTTGCGGGTCAAGAGGCCTCGAAGAGTTTGGTTTTCCCCACCGTGCGGAGCAGAGTGCCCATGGCAGAATCTGAACCCCGTAACGGCGGAGTCGGAGAAGAAGCTGATCAAGACCAGACGTATCCAGAGGAACGTCAAATGGGCTATCGGTCAGCTGCTGAACGAGGGTTTCTGTGACATATACCTCGAGCAGTCGGGGCGCTGCAGGTCTTGGACAGGCAACTTCAAGGAGCTCAAGGAGTCCATGCATGGCTGCAGGATTCACGGGTGCATGTACGATATGAGAGACGAGCAGAGCGGTCTCCTCATACGCAAGGACTGGCACATCGCGACCACTGACCCGCAGTTTGAGAAGAAGGTTGGGAGGACCTGCCCAGACTTGCATCTGCATATGCCGCTGGAAGGCGGCACGAGGGTGGCACTGTCAGCGAATTATCCCGTGAACCTGTGCCGGAGGATCGCCCAGCACTTCATGACCAGGGCCACCTCGGACGAGGCCCTCGCCTATCTGGTGCAGGCCCACAACGAGTTGGACGACGAGCTGTGCGCAGCGGGCTACAGGCGCTTGCGGGAGAAGCGGCCCGCCTCTGAAGGGCCACCACCGCCGCCGCCGAAGCGCCCAACGCTGGAGCCCACAGCTCCCGAGAGTCAAGGAGAAAGCGCAGGCGGTCAAGTACCGGCTCCTGATCCTGACGAAACTGGAGATGCTCAAGTCCCTCCAGAAGGCGAGGCGCCCCCGCCGACGCCCGAGTCGGGAGGTCAAGAGCAGTCGGTGGGCAATCTCAGACTGCCACTGCCAAGGAGTGTCCAGAACTGTACCAAGGCAGAGTTGCGCGAGCTGGAGGCCATCATCGCACACATCCATCGGAATTTCGGACACTGCAGTGTGAGCACGGTCAGCGCCGCCCTCAAGTCTCGCAAGGCGGACCAGAAGCTCATCGACCTTTGCAGCCACTACGAGTGTCCGGCCTGTAAGGCAGCTCAAAGGTTTCAGATGCGACCTATTGCCAGCTCAGAACCAACATTACCCGCTCCTGGTACTGAAATGGGTTGCGACAACTTCTATTGGACACATCCTCGACGAGCCTACCAAGTTCGCGGATACCTCTGTGCAGATTATGGCAGCCGTTTTACCCAGACATCGATTCACTGTCAGAAGGGTGTCGAGGAGCATTGCGGCAACACCACCGCGAAGGAGATGAAGGAGGGAGTGCTGAAGGACTGGATCCACCACTACGGCAAGCCGGAGGTCTTCAGGACAGATCCCGAAGGTTGCTTCAAGCAGGTCGAGCAGCGCGCCTGGGTCTCGGGTAACGGCATGGAGTGGAGACCAGAACCCGGAGAAGCTCACTGGCGAATGGGAGTGATCGAAAGATGTATCGAGACAATCAAGGAGATCGCCACTCGCCTCGCCTGGGAGCTACCAGACGACACCGAGCCCGCGGACATCTGTCGCTGGGCTTGCGTGGCCAACAACGACCTGATGCGACACCAAGGCTACAGCCCGATGATGCTCATGATGGGCCGTACCCCGTCGGGGCAGGGCTTGGAACAAGTGGAGAATCCTTCAGTCCTGAGCGCAAATGTGGTGGACAAGCATTTTCAGGAGGTCACGCGCATCAAGGCGGCTGCTTACAAGGCGTGCGTGGACCACTACCTGTCGGAGAAGACGAAGCGCGCTCTGCTGGCCAAGACGAGGCCGTTCAAGACATGGGAGTCTGGTGACAAGGCACACTACTGGCGAGGTGCGAAAGGTAACAGCCACAAGACTCGGCCAGGTATCGCTGGTCGATTTCACGGCCCCGCCACTGTCTTGATGCAGGAGCGCGAGATGAAGAACGGAGTTGCGGTGCGACGAAGAGTTGTCTGGCTTGTTGACGGTGACCGTCTCGTACGAGCAGCGGCCGCTCACCTCCGCACGACTACGAAAGCGGAGCAGACCCTGGAGAGCATCTCCGCAGGGAGCTCCGACCACTTCAAGAAGATTCTGCAGTTGTTGACGAAGGGTGCTTACGATGATGTGGTGGATCAGCCTGGTCCGGGAGAATGGGACGAGATTCCAGAAGGAGAGAAGGGTGAAGTACCGGACCCACCCAGGACGACAACTCCAAGAAGTCCAGCATTTCCTCAACCTGACGATCACGAAGGTGAAGCGGGGTCGGGCTCGAGTGACCACGAAGGGGCCACGCCTGAGGCCACACCGCCTCCGATGCCCGCACAGAATCCAGCTGAACCAGCACCGACGCCGACCAGCGACCAGATCGACGAGAGCGAACCACCACCAGAAGGTTACAACAAGCGGGAAGCCAGCCAGGAACCTCCTGGAGATCCAGAACCCAAGAGACATCGCGCCGACTTTGCAGGATACTTGAGCCATCTGTGCCAGAAAGTACCGACACTTGTCATGCCCGAGCTCGGTCGTGCCGAGCCCGAGTCTGAGGGCAGTGCGAGTTGGATCTCACCCTGGGAGTATGATCAGAAGACGAAGGCTTCCGACCTGGTGGGCTTCGTGGGCGAGGACGAGCCGAACCTCGCGATCATGATCGGCTTCGCGCTGGAGGAGTCGGATGTGGATCAACTCAGCCGGAGGCCTGACAAGGCCCTCGCCGCGATGGTCAAGCAGAACAAGGTCGAGGTGAAGCTCAAGAACCTTACGGCAGAGGACCGTGAGAAGCTCCCGATCGCGAAGGGTAACGAGATCAAGTCTTTCCTCAAGTATCGAGTCTGCGAGGCAGCCAGTCGTGCAGGAGTACACCCTGGAGCCCTGATGAAGATGAGATGGGTCATTACAAGGAAAGAGACGGGCGACCTTAAGGCTCGTTTGGTGGTTCTTGGCTTTACCGATCCGGGACTTGGGCGAATCAAGACCGCTTCCCCCACATGCAGTCGTCGAGCTCGCCAGGCTTTCCTGGGCGTCTCCGCCTCGATGGGCTTTCAGGTCTTCAAGGGTGACGTCAAGGCAGCTTTCCTACAAGGCGATCTCGGAGAAGAAGATCGAAATGTCCTGGCCGAACCAGTCAAGGAACTTAGGGAAGCCATGCGACTCGAGCATCACCAATGCGCCAAGCTCAAGAAGGCAGTTTATGGTCTGGTGAACGCTCCTCGCAGATGGTGGACGAGAGTTCGCAGGGACATGGCCAAGCTCGGCTGGGTGGAGTCTACGACAGAACCTTGCCTGTGGTGTTTACGAGAACCTGGAGGGCAGCTCATAGGTCTGGCCGTAGCCCACGTGGACGACTTCATGATCGCGATTGACCAGCACTCGGACTTTGCAGTGGACGCCCTCCAGCAGCTCCATCGAGCCTATGAGTGGGGAAGCTGGGAGACTCAAGATTTTGTTCAGTGCGGGACGCGAATTCGACAAGAATATGATGGACGCACGAAGTCATGGGGCCATATCCATCTTAACATGACTGACTACGCCCAGGAGCTCATGGAGATAGATATTCCCGCACATCGACGTCGTGATCCTGAGCAGCCGGTGACATCGTCAGAAGCTACCCGTCTACGAGCCGCCTTCGGTCAGCTCATGTGGTTAGCTACGCAGGGCGTGCCCCTCATCGGGGCAGAGCTGTCACTGCTGCTGGCTTACAGTAATTCCGCCACGGTGAATACTCTCCTGCAGGCCAACAAGCTCATCAGGCGCACCAAGTTCGAGGCGACCAAAGAGCTCATCATGGAGAAGCACGCGAATCCGTGTGTGGTCGGCTATTCGGACGCAGCCTGGAATGTTCGACGTGATGGTTCTTCACAGGGTGGTTTCTTGATCTTTCTGACTGACTATACCTTGATGCAGAACCGAGAGGCGCCGATCTCTCTGCTGGCTTGGGCATCTGCGAAGTTGCCGAGAGTGTGTCGGAGCTCGAGCGCGGCCGAGGTACAAGCCGCCAGTGAAGCTCAAGAGGAGCTGGAGTTTTGTAGGCTGCTGCTGAGCGAGATCCTGCTGGGACCCGCGCCTCTTAAGCAATGGACTTCAAGCTGTGCGAAGATTCCTGGCGCCCTGGTCCTGGACTGCCGCGGCGTGTTCGATGCTCTGGATCGGTCCGAGAGCAGCGCCCTCGGCATGAAAGACAAGAGGAGCGCGCTGGAGGCCCTGGTCCTCAAGCGCGGCATGGTCGCCACATCCACATCCCTGAGGTGGTGTCACAGCGGTGCGCAGCTGAGCGATTGTATGACCAAGAACTCGGAGAAGGCTCGCGCCAGCTACAACCTTTGGCAGCAGCGAGGCACCTGGAAGTTGATATACGACGCTAATTTTATTTCCGAGAAGCAGAGAAGACAGCGAGGACTGCAGACACTAGACCAGGCCACATATTTCGCAGTTGATGACGACGATGCCTGGCAGTTGTACCCGGAGGATTTGGAGATCGAGGAGGAGGCAGATATTCCCCCAGACTTTCGTCTCCCGGAAGCGGTGAGCGTGATGAGACATGATGCTACCTCCGTGCAGTAGCCTACGCCACCTAAGGGGAATATTCTGTGTGTACAGCAGTTCTTTCTCACCCCCCTGAGCGCGAAATAACTTTAATATTTAAAACAGCCGGCCGTACAGATGGTTCGGGGCATGTGAATCTCAGATAGATTTCTAGGGTTCTGTGTGACCGGAGCTCCCGACCCCGTGTCCGTCCCGTTCGGGTCCTCGGAGCTCTCGAACCCATGTGCAACCACCCGCACGTGCTCTGTTTTCCTGTCCGTAGCCGTCCGGCTTATAGCCCGGCCAAGAGGCCCCTTTTGGCGATTTTGACTTATCGGTCCGAAGCTCAGGGGGACCACGCGAGATAGAAAACGAGTTTCTCTCATCGTCAACGTTGTGCTCTCACTTTGGACTGTATATCCAAGCTCTACGAGCCCACCGTTTCTGCTGTATTTCAAGCTCTGCGAGCTCAACATCTCCGCCTACCTACACAACCCTGAGGATCATATCCTAGAGCTTGTGAGGATTTCTCGAAGTGAAAGGCTGAAGATCCGTGGAAGACACGCTCCACTGACACCTCCCCCCCCCCCCTGCGGGGAAGGGATCAAAGGGGAGGGGCTTCCCTTCGACTCCACTATGACGTCGTTTAATTTCGCGTTGGGTAGTGCGCTTGACGAGGAGAACCCTGGGATGGGGAGAACGGAGACGACGGAGACGACGAGTCGAACGGAGAAGCCCTTCACACACGCCGACAGGGTCGGCGGATAAATGAGCAATATTGTACGCTGTACCCACCTTTTTCCCTCCATCTGCCCACTCTTGCGCATTGCGCTTCCGCTTGGTATTTCGTACTGTTTTGCAGTGGCTGCCCAGGTGACCGTTTGCGTCAAAGGGGCTTCCTCACGCGTACGTGGGACTGGAGAGGGCCAGCGATCGGCATGTTAAGCGTGAGGCAGAAAAGACCGCCGTGTACAAACATGAAAGCGTACGCTGGTCTCCGCCTCCCTGCCATCTTCACTCTTGCTCCCCAGGCCTGCTCAGTATGATCAGTAGCCCCCCCACCCACCTGATTAGATAATCAGAATCCGACACACACACAGACACCGACACTCACACGCGCGCACGCACGCACGCGTGCACGCACACGCACACACACACGCACGCACTCACGCACGCACGCACGCACGCACGCACGCACGCACGCACGCACACACACGCACAAACACACACACCCACGCACGCACGCACGCACGC